AAAAAAAAAAAAGCCCATAAGATGAAGTCCTGGACCTCTAGGGCCCTGGCCCATCTGACCTTCCCCCATTCACATACTGTCAGCTGCTCATGGCCTTTCCACTTGCTGCTCCTGCCCAGAATGCTCTTCACTCCTTTGCTTGGTCAGGTCATGCTCATCCTTCGAGTCTCAACCTTCCCTGACCTCCCAGATTAGATTAGGTCACCCTGCTAGACTGTTCCCCTACCCTGAACTTCTCAACACTGATTACAGTGGAAACTAAGTAATTCTTTGTGCATGTTATCTGACTCTCCCTAAGCCAGGACATTCTGAGGCTGATTGTAAGAGTGTGTCAAAGAGAATCCCGACCCCTGCTTCCTGTGACCGTTTTCATGAGATGGACCTTTGCCTTCGATGATTTCCTCCAGGGCTGGGCAGGAAGTCACTTCCAGGTAGGGTCTTTGTGGTCCCAGAAGTCTGGCTACCAGGCTTTCTGCCTCAGTGCTCTGCGGGCCTGACCTCCAGGCTGATCGTTCCCCTTTGTTTATGTTCTGGACTGAGCTGGAACTCCCACTTGGAACATTCCCACGGTGCTGGCGCTTCCTCGTATTGTTGTATTTTTCTCTGGAGGGGAAATGACCAACATCAGACTTTCCTCTCAGCAGACAAATTCCATGCACCCTGTCCGTGTCAGCTACTGGGCACCGCTGGAGAGCCTGCCTGTCTCGTTGCCTCTGGGAGTGAATGTGCACAGACAGTGATTGCTGGCCTTTCCCTTCTGAGTCATTTCTGTCTTAATCTCCCTCAAGAAGCAGGACTCCCTGATTCTGCTGTCTTCTAAACCCAGTAGAACCTTGTGGGAGGGGAGAGCTCTCTGCAGTAGCCACAATGTTACCTCCCTGGTTTACATCGTTTTCCACAATCAAAATATTATTACCATGGGACAAATGTTTGTAAGTGAAATTTTATTTTATTTGAGCTAGTTACCAGAGTGTTGCAGTGGATCTTACTGTGATGTGGAAGAAGGATCCCTTGTGAGGTTAAAGATTTTCCTTTAATGTATTGCATCTAAAGCCTGGATGTTTATGTATAATAAAATAATATAAACAGCAACAGTAGCTGTTCTTTAAGAGTATCTCCTGAGTGTGAGCACTTTTTAAACATCGTGTTTAACCTCTAAACTGCCTTATGAGGTAGGCAGCATAGTAGTACACATTCTACAACACAGGTGAAAAAATCAGATCCAGAGAGGGTAAGTTCTATCCCAAAGTTGCCCAGCTGGGAAGTGCCTCCAGAGATTCAGACCAGGCCAGCTGCCCTCCAAAGCCAGCACCTGCCCACTGCTCTCCTACCTCCTCCGGCTGCGAGGAAGCAGGTAGCAGATTTCCTGAAGGAGAAAAAAATCTGGGGCTGGGGCTGGCTACATACCTGGCCCTGATGCAGCCCCACCCTACCCATGGTCCCATCCGTAAGGTGTGGGAGGGGCTTGTGATGGTAATGCCTCTGGGAATGACTTGGCCAGTGTGGTGAAATACAGTGATTGAAAGCACTACATGCATCCACAGCATCCTCGAACCATGTGTTGGGGACATGGAAGCACGTTAGAGTGGCTGCACAGTGAGCGCTCACTTCTGGGGCATTTCATTTTCACTCTTACCCGTTAGAGTCCCAGGCTGTCTCCCCGAGGTGTGCACTGGGATGGGTCCCTTGCCCATTTTGGATTGTGAGCATAGGCACCTTTGGGGATGACTCTTAAAGACACCTTTCGAAGCTGGGCATCAGAGAGGCATTCTTAAGAACAGACTGTCCTGTTTATCTTCCCCTACCCCAGCCTGTTCGTGTTGGAACCATTTTGGGAGCCATGATTACCTGAGAAGCAATTGAACCACAGGGTCTTCTTTTCAGAGCTGTTCTCTCAAGAAAATTTCCAGGTTGGAAGGTTCATCAGTAAATTAGTGGTTTGTAACTTGGGATGCATTTTCTCATGGCAACAGTTAAGGATGTGGCAGTCCCCAGCTAAGGAAAGGGAGAGCCAGGCTTGAGCCCCGGTTCCCCAGCTGACCTGTTGATCTGCGTGTGCACAGGCATATGAGGAACTGACTTCGAGGGCTCTACAGCCTAATAAGGGAAATTAAAAAGATATGGATGAGACTCCAAGGCAGGGGAATTCTGCCCGAACTGAGGGGTGGGGACATGGACGAGACAGGCCCACACCCCTGGCTCTTGCAGGAAGGAGAGTTTATTTATGAATTAGAAACCCTGGTTAACCCATTCTCAGTGGTGGGGGCAGTCGGGGTGTGTGTGTGTGTGTGTGTGTGTGTGTGTGTGTGAGAGAGAGAGAATTCTCATTTGTTCACTTGTTTATCCCTTTATCCACCCATTTGTTAAGCACCTACTGTGTGCAGGTATTCTGCCAGTGCTGAGTGGCATGTGTGTAGAGCACTTGGTAAGTCGTTTGCCAAATGTTTGTAGTTAAAACTGTCTTTAGTTGAAAGGAGACTTTAAGATGCAGGTTCGTAAGGAGAGCCTTTCTGATCTGTTGTGCTTTTGCAAATACATTGAACTTCATGTCTCATGGAAGAAATGAGGTCAGATGTCATACATACATAAGGAAAATTGTTATGTATTTAGAAGGAAACTGAGGTCTCTTCCAAATGTATGGAAAAGGTGGGGTGATTATTGGTGGGGGTGGGTGGGGCACTGAATTGAAGTTGGACGTTTTGACCAGCTGTTAGGTTTCAGTGCCCCTCTGGCATGGCAGGACTTTGGGCCTCTGCTCTTTCCCAGTTGGTGGTTGCAGTTTGATGGGAGGAAGAGCTCGTCAGTGCAGCGTGTGGGGCGGGGAGCTGGCAGTGGTCCGTCCTCACGCTTTTCTCTCCTGCCCCACCACTGGAGGAGTGGAATGGGCCTCTGCTGCTATTTGCTTTTCCGAGTTTGGAATCTAAGGCTGTAGTCTTGAAATGTGGTTTCTATATTGTAGATCAAAAGATGAGGCCTGAGCGCTTGCAGAAGTTTGGATTTAGCTTCATTTGTTCTTATGCACCGTCAGGATTTCTCCCTCCCTCAGGACAGGCAGCGCTGGTGCCGCGAAGGCCAAAGCACGCTGAGCACAGGCCTGCGGGTCAGATCCCCGTGGCATTCAGTGCCTCTCGTACTCGGTCTCCTGGTCCTGAGGGCCTTTGGGAGAACATTGTCCTTAAGTTTTACTCTAGTTCTGTAATTTTCTCCCATATCTTACCACCTGATGCCAGTAGAATGAAATTCCCTTTGATTGTGTGCCTGTAGCTAAATTGACTGAAACCAGAAGTCTGCCATCTGAGCTAATATAGTTTCACAGCCTAAGATTGTAAAAATGTTGACGATACATGTTTACCAGAGGATTCCTAAGTGTCCGTCAGCATGCTGGGCTCTTCATAAACGTTTTCTTCTGTTTGATCCTCATTACAGCTGAGGAGGTGGGACTGGAATTATGCCCATTTAACAAATGAGGACACTGAGACTGCTGTGCTCAGTTGGGCAGAGCTGGGACTTGAACCAGGTGGTTGGGCCTCCAGGCTTACTTGCTCTGCGTGCTCCAGGGCATTCTTTAAGAGCGTTTCTGACCTCAAACTCTGGTATTGAAGTCAGTGAAATCTCTCCATCTACTTTGACATTTTCCTCTTTTTTTTTTACCAAAAAAGGGTATGATTCCTTGCCCTTCTTTTGTCCCAGGAAACCTGTTCAAAATTTAGGTGGTGTAACACTTTTTCCAGAAAGATTCTTTATTTACAAACTGTAGTAGATGATTGGAGCTTGAGGTTACAGATGTTAGCTGAGTTTGTCCTCTGTGGTCTTCCTCCTTTGGAAACTGGGGTGTAGCTAGCAGTTTGATGTTTGTTTGTTTTCCCTTGGAAACAGCACTATTGAAGTCAGTTTGTCTTCTCTGACGAACTCTCTTGTGATGTGCACTGGTCTGAGGGTGAAACCTTAAACAGAAGGCGTGGCATTAGGGTCTGTATGACAGTGTTTCTCCCAGTGGCACTCCCAGAATTGGCCCATTTTTAACTTTCATCTTTTCGATCACCTGATTCCCTGCTCAAGAAAAGCAGTAATGAAAGTGTTTGGAAATATAGTTCATACTCTGAGGCTGCTCTGTGCCCGTGACTAAGTGTCAAAGGAAGGCCGGGGAACGAGTTTCTTAATATAGACGGTTACTGAGACCCACCGGTAGGGCGACAGCAAGCCTTTTCTTCTGATTTCCTCCGTGGAAGTGGAGAGAGTTGGAAAGGCAGGAAGCAAAGACCTTTTAGAGTAGAATTCAAGTTTTACTTGCAGGGGTTTGCCAGGGCTTGCTGCTGAGGGGGTTAAGATGTCCCAGAGATGAATTAGCCCTCTTTCTGCTGCTGAGTGGGTTCTACTCGATGTTCATCAAAGACAGCTGGCCTGGAAGGGCTCTGTGATCCTCTGGCTTTAGAATGGGCAACGCTATTGAAAAACAGGAGCCCCTCCACCGAAGCCATCTGTGCCCCTGGAGACAAGGTAAGAAGGCCCTGGACTCCGTCTCCAGGAGGAAGGAAGGCGACAGCCTTTGGTGGGAATACTTTGCCCAAAACCAGAGCTAAACTGCCAGTTCACCGTAGGTTAAAGAAAATTAACAGGAAGTCCCAAGAAATAAAAGTATACTTGTGTATCAATATGATGGCCTGGTGCGGTGCAGCATCTGTCTGTTGGTTGAACATTTTTAGCTTTAAAAAATATTCCAGCCTGGCTGGGAGTAGCTCAGCAGTTGAGCATCAACCTGTGATCCAGGAGATGGTTGTTCAATCCTCAGTCAGGGCACATGCCCAGGTTGTGGGCTCGATCCCCAGTAGGGGGCATGCAGGAGGCAGCCGATCAGTGACGATGCTCTCATCGTTGATGTTTCTCTCTCTCCCATTCTCTCTCTGAAATCAATAAAGATATTTAAAAAAAAGAAAGAAAAAATATTCCAAATATTTTTATATCCGGGAGTTTAAATCTTTTGTGACAATTTGCTCTAAAGAATGTTATTAATAGCTTTTAAATGTATAGATCCTTTCTTCCAAAGCGTTTAAAGTAACTTCTGTAAAAGAATCTCATGTTTATCCATCCTGCCCGCCCGTGATGTGGGTCAGCAGCATCTGTTAACACCTACTCTTTGTCTCTCAAGGGCTGTGTTAGTGTCAGCTTTGAGGCAGAGGAAGCCAGCAGGGCCACAGAGCAACACGGTGGTGCTCCTGTAGCCGAGGACCTTATAGCAGCGCCAGGCAGTTCCATCTTCTAGTGCACGCGCTGCCTGTTTTCACTGTTACTAACCCAGCCTACCAGCAATTGGCAGACCCGGCAGGCATGTCAAACTGTCAGAAATGGTTCCCTCTGGACTTCATCAGGTCCTGGCTTTTTTACCTCCACCTGCCAAAAAACAACCACCATATAGGGAGCATTTGACCTGTAGCAAGACAGTTTGATCGCTGCTGTGTGTGGCTGTGTGGTTGTGCCGATGTATGGAAGAATTAACTGAAGAGCATGCCTGGTCATGTGATCAGTAGCAGTCTCCTGTGGCCAGAGTATGATAATCTTTTTAAGGGAAAAGTAGGTGAGAAACTGATAAACTGTCAGATTTTAGCCCCTCTGACTTTCCGTCAGCCATTCTTTGTCCATCCAGGTACTTTGACAAAGGTATTTTTTAGTGGTCTTCGGTCAGATCCTGGTTTGAATAGAACAGTGATAACACATTGGGGGCAGCTCAGGAACTTTGCATGGGAACTGGGTAATGGATAGTGTTTGGGACCACTGCTCATTTTACTGCGTACATTAAGGGTGCTGAGTCATGTGGGAGAATGTCCTTTTTTGGATAGTCATGCTGAAGTATTTAGGAGTGAAGGGTTATGCTGTCAGTAAATTTATTCTAAAGCAATTCAGGTTAATGAATGAATATATACGTATATACAGATAAGCAAAATAGGGTAAGTTTAGCAAGTGTTAGAATCAAGATAATTGATATATGAGGTTTGTTATATATTTTTAAATGTATTCTTACTCTTTTTTGTGGGGGGAAACAGTTGCTGATTAGGACAGCATAGCACAGTGTCCTCAGGAGAACGAGCCTTAGCAGACCTTCACCAAGGCGGGTCACGTGCAGCACTCCTCCTCAGCACCACACGGGCTGGTAGCTCTGTCCTCCAAGAACAACATTGGCATTGACTTGATAACTCAGAAGCACCGCTTTGTAACAGGAATTTATTTACTTTCAGATTGTCTCTGGTTTTCCTTAGAAAAATGTATAGGAGTTAAAACATCTTAAAATTTCCATTGCAGGCAGCTGGATTTACAGAGAAAATTAAAGAAAGCTTTGTGGTTTTTGTTACTATGTTGTTTAGTCACATTCAGTGATTTTACTGAGAGCAGTTGTAGGACCACTGTTGATAGTAGGGACTTCAGGCTCCACAGTGACCGGGGAAGGGGAAGAGGAAGAGCAGCTCATTGCCCCTGACTGCTAAGTCTCCGTGGTCCCGTTGCCCAGGAGCCTGCCTCTCCCAGTGTCGGGATTTGTTTGCGCAGGTTAGACTCTGGGACGGCACTGTGTCTCCCCAGCCAAAGTCCATCGAGGCGCTGCCTGGGACCTGGGGTGTGTCCTTCACAGTTTATCTGTTTGTTGTTGTCCCTAAGGGTGGTTTATGTTTTAGAAATTCGATTTTAAAGCAGTGTTTGGGAACCAGATTTAGTGAATCCCTGGCACCACCCTGACCCTGAGTCCATTTTCCTCATTCCACGTTCCACACAGTTGTGAATCTCAGTGGGTGGCTGATGGCTCCAGGGCCAGCAGCATGGTGTCAGTGCCTGCTTTAGGGGCAAGTGGATGGTAAACTGGGCACGTCCTCATGTGCATTTTCTCCAGGCACCTGGTCTGCCCAGACTTCCCGAACTTCTGTCTAGCTTGTCTGTGGCTCTGTGATGGCAGAACCAGGCGGCCGTGGTTAGGAAGGTCAAGCCCAGCACACATTCTGAAGGGAAACTTCAAGGAAATCATTATCTGCCCTTCAGGGTATTTACTTTTCTGTTTCTAGGTTGTACACCTGGAGTGTTGAAAAATTGAAGTGACAGAAGACTTAGTTGAAGAAACATGAACCTCACGCACCCCACCTGTTGTTATTAAAGAGCATTTTACACCCAGTAGAGAAACGTCTCTCTGATCTTAAACAATGTGGGGTGTGCCCCCTCAGAGGGGACCAACATCTGACTCTTCCTGGTCTTGTTTTGCTTATAGCTCTCAGAATCCAAAACATAAGGAAAAAACAGGACTGCTCATTTTGGTTTTTACAGTAGTGATGCCTGTATTGGTTGGTCAAGTTGAACCATGTATATTACCAAAGTGAGTTCTAGCAGGCCCCCATACCAAAAAATAGGATGGGAGGTGGGGTGAGGCAGAGCGTGGCTTTGGGTGATCCTGAGAGTTCCAGCCAGCCAGAGCTCTGCCTCCCACTTGCCTGCTGACCTTGAACAAGTGAGTTTTGTAATCCCAAATCTCCTCATTCCCTCTCCGAATGAGTGCATCTTTATTTCAGTGCAGCCTTCCCACAGGGGCTTGTCTTTTATCGGTCTGTTTGCTACATTACCTGATCGGAAACTCCTGAGGGCTGTCTGTCAGGACCATTATCGATGTGTCCCTCCACACCAGCACAGTGTGTAGCACTTGGTGCTCCTACCCCACCTCCACCACTGTGAGTGCACAGAACAATGTTTTCTGGCTCCTGGTATAAATGAGGTGTGAAAGATAGAGCCTGGTTCCTGGTGCATGGTAGCTACCAGTGCTGGCGGATGTAGGGTGGTTATATGGGGCTTGGAAATGTGCATCCTGAGCCTTTCTCTGCCTCAAGGCACAGGGATGAAAATTGACACACCTTCTTTATCCCACTGCAGTTCTAGATTTACAAAGAGTAGATTTATTGATCACAGTGCAAAAGATTGATTCACAAAAGGCACCTAATTAGTCAACATTTAGTTGTTGATTCATTGACCCAGACACCTCAGAAGACACACTCTCTCAACCAACCTTCCTTTTTTCCTTCCTTTTTCAGAAATAATTTGAAGGACTGCTTACAGGGGTCATTTTGGCTTTGGGGAGTACAACACGGGCAGAGAAGTTTCCTTGGGAATAAATATTGCAGCAGTAATTGCAAATGGAATTGTTCTCCCTCAGAAATCCCCACAGCTCTGGGCTGCACCAGCCTATTAAATGGAAATGTTAATGATTTGCATGTTTGTACACAGTTGGGTCTGAGCTAACCAAATTAACACCCTCAGTGGAAAAGCTGACTATGAAAAGTGTCTTTAACAGGCCAGCTGACTGGGGTCTGCAGTGCTGGGAAGGAGACTGGCCAGCTGAAATGGAGTAGAGGTGGGGTGGGGTGGGGGGTGGAAAGTCAAGGCAAGAATTTGCATGATTTCCACATGCTCCTTGGTTCCTGTGCTGTGGGGCAGTTTTATTCCAGTTTTGGATTCCAGTCCACATTGGTGTTTAGACTTGCCTCTGCAAGCTTGGTGGTGAGGAAGCATCCAGGGCTGCTGGACGCCTATGGGCGTCCATGTGCCAGGTGATTAATGTGATGGCTTTTCTGGCCAGAGCTGAAGCCAGCCCCTCCACCAGCTCTTTTCTGGTCTTTGTCGCATTGCATTGGGGCTGCTGTGGTGTCTGGTATCCACCTCTCAGGCAGTAGTACTCCAGAAAGTGCAAGGGCTGGTTGCTGCACTCCAGACACCTGGCTCAGTGCCTTCTAGCTGGATGAGGCCAGCCACATGACTTCACAGTGGTGAGCCTGTGTCCTGTTCTCTACATAAGATTAACAATAACACCCCCCCCTCAAAGGACTGTTGCAAGGATTAAATGACATAAGTCGTGTAAAGGGGTCATAGCCTTTAACATACAGTAAGCACTCAGTGAATAATAGTAATTCTTATTATGCATCCCAGCTAACGGTGTGCATTTGGTTAACTCTGTTTCCTTCCCTCAGTTGACGGGATCACATGTCAGATGATCTCAGAGGTGCCTTTGCAGACTGTGAATCAGTGACCATCCGCTTTGGCCACTGCCACTTACATCTGCAAGCTCCCTGGGTGTTGAGGACCTATAGAAGGCATCCGTTCTGCTGAGCACTGTGGTCACAGGGGGCTTTTTATGGTGAATTTCTTTGAAAATGGTTATCACAGGACCAGACATAATTGACCTATTCCTAGTTAGCTAGAATATTAAACTAACCAGGACGATTCATTTTCCCATTCTGAGTACTATATAGTGTTGAATTTTTTTTTTTCCCCATAATTACAGAGTAGTTAAGAGCATGACTTCAGGAGTCTGGGTGGCCAAGGTTGAATCCTTGCTCACCCACTTTCTAGTTTGCTGGTCTTGGGCCAGTTACTTAACTTCTGGGCCTCAGTTTCCTCGGCTATAAATAGTACCTCATGGGGTGACATAAAGTGCTTAGAACAGTGCCTGGCACAAAGTTAGTGTTCAGTAAGTGTTT